TTTTTGTTTTTGTTTTTTCGAGACAGGGTTTCTCTGTGGCTTTGGAGCCTGTCCTGGAACTAGATCTGTAGACCAGGCTGGTCTCGAACTCACAGAGATCCGCCTGCCTCTGCCTCCCGAGTGCTGGGATTAAAGGTATGCGCCACCATCGCCAGGTCTTGGTTTGGTTTTGAGACAGGGTTTCTCTGTGTAGCCCTGACTGTCCTGGAACTCTGTAGACCAGGCTGGTCTTGAACTCAAGAGATCTGCCTGCTTCTACTTCACCCAGCCAGAACTGGTTCTTACAGCAACAGGCCCTGCAGGATACTGATGCCCACAGGCCATGGCCACCATTCTATTCTCTGCTGAGAGACCTCACAACCACCCATCGCCCGGCCACCAGGTGGACATTTTTTACAATAATGTTCATCTAAAATAAAAACTACATAATGAAAAAAAACTACATTCCATTCCATTATAATTTTCTTGGCTTGTTTCCACATAATGAAAAAGGTTTCTTTTGAACCTTTGTTATTGACATGATGGCTTTTGTTTTTGTTTTTTTCTTTTTTTCTTCTGAGGCCTCCAGTGCATTTCCTATCAATAGTTAATCAGTTTCTTCATTACTTTTTGCTAGAGGCTCCTGGCAGACCTGTATGGGATAGGATTATGTGTTATATATTTGGGACAAATCATTTTCCTGGTTATTTCTTATAACTGAATAATAAAGTCAGTTCTGTTTCATCTGATATAAATTCAGCAGTTTCTTTCTTTTTTTATTTATTATGTATACAATATTCTGTCTGTGTGTATGCCTTCAGACCAGAAGAGGGAACCAGACCCCATTACAGATGGTTGTGAGCCACCATGTGGTTGCTGGGAATTGAACTCAGGACCTTTGGAAGAGCAGGCAATGCTCTTAACCTCTGAGCCACCTCTCCAGCCCAGCAGTTTCAATATGTAAAACAACTCTTTCAGTAACTATGTTGAGAGGTTTTTTAAAATCCCTTTGTACCATGAGAATAGCATATAATTCTGATTTTTGTACAGACACATAAGGCCTTTGATCCACTTTTCTTAAATTTTGTGATTTGTAGCCAGCCTGCCTTTCCTGATTTGTTTGCATCAGTATAGGTTGTAAGGGCTCCAGTTATTGGTGTGTCCCATACAGTGCGAGGAAGGATCTAGTTAATTCTCTTCATAAGTTAAATTCTCTTGCTTTTGGGATAGTTGTTGCTAATCTCTCCCTAGAAAATTACTGCAAACTCTTTGCCAGGTTCACTTTCTGCTCATAATTTGTCAATTTCATCATTAGTGAATGGTACTACAATTTCTGCTAGGTCTACTCCAGCTAATTGATGAAGTCTTAATTTTTCCTTTAAAATTAACTCAGAGACCTTTTCCACATGAGTTTTTTAATTTTTACTTGGTTTATGTGGTTAAAAGATTCATTCTAAGATAATATCTTACCTCTGCATTAAAATTTTTGTAGGGGAATGGTTGGAGGGTAATATGACCAGAATGCAGTTAAGCTTCAGATCCACACAATCCATATGTGCCTTCTGTAATTTCTCTTCCACCAAAGCCAATTTTCTGTCAGCTACTTCTGATAATTTTCTTGGACTAGTTAAATTCTTGTTACCACTTAAGGTTTTTTTTTTTTTTTTTGAATTATTCGAGACAGGGTTTCTCCGTAGTTTTTGGTTCCTGTCCTGGAACTAGCTCTGTAGACCAGGCTGGCCTCGAACTCACAGAGATTGCCTGCCTCTGCCTCCCCAGTGCTGGGATTAAAGGCGTGTGCCACCTAAAGTTTTGAACAAATTACTCAGTTTGTTTTTCATCCCCAATAGGACACGTCTCCTATCAATCTCTGGAAGTCATTAAGAGTCTGCAGTTGATCTCTCCTAATTTGCACCTTTTGGGATCCAATTCTTTTGTAAATCTATTTTATATTTTAAATAATTAGTAGAATCTCTTTGTATTTTTCAGGACCAATTTGTAATCCCTAAGAAAGCAAAACTTTCTTTTTTAAACATTCTTTCTAAAGTATTTACATTTGAATCAGCTAGGAAGATGTCATCCATGTAAGGGCAAATTATGGACTGAGGAAATTGATTATATATCATTTTCAATGGCTGTCATACAAAATATTGGTACAGGGTGGGACTATTTTACATTCTCTGTGGGAAAACTTTCTATCTGTTGGACTCTAGCGTCCAAACACCGAGGAGGAGTCTCCCCCAGAGACCATCTCACACACTACAGCTGATGCAAAAGCATGAGGATTTTATTAATTCTGTCATGACAGGGCCCCTCAGCATTCGGGAAGCCGAGAGACCTTGAATAGCTGGTACAGTCTACTTTTAAAGGGGCCACAGAAGCAAGGGGGGTTGTTCTTTGACTATTCTGATTGGCTTATTCGAAAGGGCTATTACCAATAATTGACTGGAGAGCTGTTGCCAGATCAGATGAGGTAAGAGGTAAGAGGTTTCCCAGGGGACCAAACCAAAACATACGTATATGAGTAATTGTTCAGGAACTGAGTACGTGTGAGTGTAGCTGTTAGGTCCTTGGTTCCCAAGGGAGGAGGGGAAGCGCTATGGCACAGAGGCTGAGAGGATTCAGAATTGTCAAAAATGGCTTCAGGATTGTCTTAAAGTCTTACATATTGATCTCTCTTAACATTCTGAGAATTAGGGGCTGGAGAGATGGCTCAGAGGTTAAGAGCACTGGCTGCTCTTCCTGAGGTCCTGAGTTCAATTCCCGGCAACCACATGGTGGCTCACAACCATCTGTAATGAGATCTGGTACCCTCTTTGGGCCAGCAAACATACAGACAGTCAGAACACTGTATAATAAATAAATAAATAAATAAATCTTTAAACATTCTGAGAATTATTATACGTAAATACCATGAAGGCACCATTTTTTAAATCACTAACTATAAGTGGCTATCCTTTAGGTAATGAGGGATTGCAAAGGAGTGCCAGACTGTAGAGAGCCATTGCCTGCATCACCTTGTTGACAGCTC